TACAAACTTTGACTTTGAACAATAATTGCTAAGTCCTCCAAAACCCTCTCAAAACAATTCTTATGCCTTTGGAAAGAACTTCAAGCTAGATCTCAAATCCTAACCTCCGATCTTCAAATAAAACCCTATTTTGTCCTAGGCCGTCATTTTAGTGGCCAAAGGTCTGATTTCAAGCCTATTTCATAAACGGTTGATCCCCGGGTATCAATCTATCCTATCCTAAGGATTTTTTAGCCCAACCCTACTCTCAACTTAATCTTAGTACCAACTATATTAATTATTTATCTCTAATAACCTGATTTTATCAATTTATGGTCTTTCTAAGGTAATAGAAGAGTCTCTACAACCTAGAAGGTAAAATTACTAACTAACCTTCAATCTATTAATTATTAAGATAAAAAAATAACCTAAGAGGCTTTTATAAAAGCCATATTTAGATACCTCAAATTATAATTAAACTAAGATAATTAGATATTAATTAGAAATTCAATTTTGATTATAATTTCACTCTATAGTCGTATTACATCATGACAACGTTTGGTTTGAATCCTATGCAGTAGTTGAAGTATATAATAAAGTAACTTATTCTCTTTGACAGTTAGATGAGATACTATTGAAGACTAGAATTTAAAGAAATCAAATTAAAGTCTTCAAGCAACATGATGAGATGAATTATATGGAAAATTTAGAGGCTTTTGAGCCTCAATATTTTGATCAATGGTTCAAAAGTGATACAATTGACAATAACTCTAATTCTGATGATGGTGGTATTGTGGTCTAATTTTTTGTCACGTATCAGAGTATATGCAGGTTTGGAAGGAGTGAATGTAATAATGGACTTAATTTAAGTACATCAAAGTTATTTAGAAGGTAATTAATTTCATTGGTAGGAAAAGAGGAACATAATACTAATATATTTACAAATTTGAATAAGAGGTTGTCGGCTTGAATAGATTATTCGAACTTGAAGATATTATCTTTTAGGATAGATACTCAATTATATAATACTTTAAGATAGGTATTGAGAGAAGATTAGGACAAGGATTTTAGAATAAAGTAGGATTTTTTTTTATTTTTTTATTTTTTTATTTATTTTTGCTGGAATTTTTTAAAAGAGGAGAATTCAACATTGATTTTCGTTTTTCTATGCAACTTCTTGCGTTTTTATCTTTTTGTATTGATATTTTTAAAAAAAATTAGATCTAATTGTGAATTTTCTAAGAAGCTATAGCATGCAAAAAAAGAAGCTCTAAGAAAAGAAATCCAAGCAAATTTGTGGGAAGGGAATTGCTGAAGTTTTTAAGAAAGGAGATTCAACACTAACTTCGATTTTCCTACACCACTTCTTGTATTTTTCATCTTTTTGTATTGATATTTGGAGAGAAGTTAGATCTAATTGTGATATTTTCAATAAGTAATAGCATATAAGAAATAGATCTGTGAAGAAGGAGATATAAGTATATTTATAAGAAAAGATTATTAGAGTTTTTAGGCAATAAATTTTAAGAGTAGTTTGGGATTTTCTATGCCATTTATTGGATTTTATTTTATTCTCAATGAGGTAAATTTTGCCTAAATTATATTAGTAATAAGTAAGTTATAGATATTTTAATGAAAAGAGGTTGAGATCTGAGATTAGAATTAGGAATTGAATGCATTCTAATATAAAAAAGAAATTAATCTATAAATTGTATCTAGCCTTTAGCCTGCCTTTTATATTTGATTTCATTGGGAACAACATTGTGCCATCTTGTAACCTACTTGTAATCAAGGATTTCATGTTTTTCTAAGGAGAGTCGCTGTCTTGGCACTGTGGTTGCTACAACATTCAAATTAGACATCTCATTTCCTCTTCTTCTCCACTTATATATTTACCATGCATGACCTAACTAATTAAGGCTACAAAAAGGAAAATATGAGTTAGATTGGACTTCACATCATACACTCAAGCAGATCTACTCCAAATAATGAATGCAACAAGTAGGACAAACAATATTTTAGGTTTTTTTGTAGCTTTGAAAATCTATGCATCCATTGCCTAACTCCTCAGTGAACATGATTATCAAAGATGGATGGTAGACATCAAGGGATATTTTTCAGTCAACAAATGCCACCTATTATAACAACTTCTCATTTAAGAAAGAATAAAATCACAACAAACAATTTGGAGAGCGTTCAATCATAAAATTCTTAATTTGACCTATTTATATACTTTGTTATGTATTATATAAATTCACTAGTCAATGGATTGATGAATAACTATATGATAATAGAATAGCATATTAATAATACAAACTATTTCAATGGTTTATAGTAATAGTCTTGAATACAACAATCCAGCCAATGACTGAATTAAGGCGCAATATAATTTTTTAAATTATTTTTAATCTTGATGGAGATCTTTACAATATCATAGTACCCTTTGACGGTATTGACCAAGGTCTAATTCCTTGGCTGTATATCAATTTGGTTTGCAATCAAAGTCACAATTCTATAATCCAACTATAAATGAGCATCAACTTTCTTTTTGGTTGCATATCTCTCATCTTCTCTGTGCATGAAGTGACATCCTTGTGGCTCTTTACAAAAAATATTTAATAATAATAGAACCTTTATTTTACTTTGCATTTAAAATATAATAACATCTATATTTTTATTTTCAAATATCTTATTACTTTACTAATATAATGTTTATTAAAAAGAAACAAAAAAATACATATATCTTTATTATAATATATATATATATATATATATTATTAATATTTTAATTTAAAAAATTCTTCATTATCCAAATTTAATATTTAATATATGTTTATATATTTTTGATAATATATTAATTAATAAATTGAAAATAAAATTAGTATATATATTTATAGAAAATTAATTATTTTTTAAAATAAATTAATAAAAAATACAATTATTATTTTTTGATTATATAAAAATAAGTGAATTTATAGAAAGCTCAATAATAATAATAATGAAATAATATAATATATAATTCAATTAAATATAAATAAAATATAATAATAAAATAATAAAATAATTTTTTAATGAAATAAAAATTTCTTTAGTTTTTACAAAATTATTACAAATAGTAAAAATAACCATATTAAAAGAAATTGATTGAAAATATCTTGTTGATAGAAACTTCACATCAAAATTAGAGAAGAAAATTTCCTAATATCAAAATAATTCTTTGGTAATTTTTCTCAATTTTTTAAAGTTTGTTTAAAAGTAAAATATCAATCATCATTCAATATTTAAATATGATTCAATAAAATAACTTTGTTGAAGTTACAACTAAAAATTTATGGTTTGTTTTGGATTTATTCAGAGTTTTCTTAGAACTTGATGGAGGTTGTTTAAAATATGTGTAAGGTTTTATTAGGACTCTTTCTTAAAATTCTATAGAATTCTATAATATTAAATAGTTTTGATTTAGTAGTTTTTAGAATTTAATTATGGATTCTTAGATTTAATTGTTGTATGTAATTTTCAAAAAATTGATTCTTTAAACCACACCATATATATTTAGTGACATGTAAAGTCTTTCAATTAAATTTAAAAAAAAAAAAAAAAAAAAAAAAGATTAAAAAAATTATGTGGTACTACCAAAGCAAAGGGCTCAAATAAACATGTGTGTGTAAAGGGCTCCACTATATATATATATATATATATATAAATATATAAAAGCGAAGGGAACCTATATATATATATATATATATATATATAAATATATATACACATAAACATTTATATATAATTTGAAGGTCATACATATGTATAATTTGAGCATGCCATATGAGCTGTTATTTTCTATTATCTTGCTTTTCATTCTTTTGTATATTTTATTTATTATTTATTTTGCAGTTTCCATGATAGAATGTGGGAGTGGATCTGCTTCAAGTCAATGCACGTTTATGTACCCAGCATCACCATAAGAAGCTTTAGCATTCAAAAGCTAACCCCCATTTGTTCAGAGACTGCAGGTTCAATAAGTGTTATTCCCAATCATTTATTTATCTTTTTTTCCTAAGAAACTTCTCTTTGTTCTGCTGGAGATATTTTATTCTTGCAACAATCAGTTGCACAAGTATGTGTATTTAATTTATTTAATTATTTGATTATTTATTTGTTATCCAGCTGAAGCGAACAAACTTGGACTCTGTTCACCATGTGAAAAGAACATACTCACTTCCAATAAACTCAAATGTAATAAGTTGTGTCTGTATTTGTATGTGTGAGTGCATATATATATATATATATATATATACATATATAAGAGAGCGGGGTGTGTGCATCTATGCATTGCTGAAAATTACATATGATACTTTATGCATACATATGCATTTCTCAAATACTTTTTATGATTTTAAGAAAAAAACAAAAAACAACAACAACAGCCCACAAGAGTCAAACACTTTCCAATTACTAGTAGGTTTACATGAATCCTTCTCTGTTTGGATGGGCTTCACTGAGTATATATATAGTTCAAGAAATAATGTATCACAAATAATAAAAATGTAGAGAAGTATATATATATAGCAATTTGAACCAATAATAAATCCTTGATCCACAAGGCATGTTAAATTCCTCATCTTTAATTATTTTTTAATGAAAAGTTGTATAGGATGTGTTTATGCTACATGATTCAATATTTTTAGTAATTTATTGAATTATTTATCATTCTTAGTGATTTAATGTTAAATTTTCACAAAAATAAACAATATTTAGAAAGCTCATAATGAATAAGAAAATGTTGTGGGGGGGGGGGGCTGCTTGGTCGCAAGTTCCAATGGAAATACCGAAACACAGCCAGTCAACCTTTGGCATTGAGACCGTGTGACGCCAGGGTGGCAGCCACGTAGAAGCCAGCTAGGATGCTACCGGCGCACATAGACCATGATGAATGCTCCTCTTTCCCCCTCCGTCTCCTTTTCTTTTTCTTATTGTCTTTTTCCTTGTCCTCTTAGATTTATTGTAGTTCTTCTTCTTCTTTTACTGTCTGTCCTCCTCGTGGTTCGTTCGGCTGTGGTTCCCTGCGTGCGTCCATAGCTTCTTCTTCCATGCTGTGCTGTGCTGCAAAGCCAGTCCAGTAGAAAGCAAAGCCGTCGGGGGTTTTCTTCACCCTCCAGATGCCTGCGGGGTATCCCTCTCTCTATCCCTCTCTCAGTGTGTATGTGTGTGTGCTTGTGTGTATGTGTGTGTTTGAGAAAGAGTGTGTGAGATGGGTTGACAGGGCTGCGAAGGTCGGCAACTCACGCCGTGAGGCAAGGCCTCAACTCTGCAGGGGGTGAGTGACGTCGTCAACGATGGCTGGATGTGTCCCCACCACACCTACTCGCTCCATGCCTTCCTCTTGCCGCAAATACTTCCTTTGACCGTCTCCATTTACCCTGATTTAGCTTCGCTCAGCTCATTCTTCGCTGCTCGGCGAATCTCTTCACTCCCTGGACTTGCAGCCCACACTTCGAACGACGACGACCGCCATCACTGCTACGAACTAACAGAAGGGTAAATCTGAACGGACGAACTTGTACCGATTGTGTTAAAATCGAAGATCGCAGTGCTGGTATGTGCCAAGTTACGCGCCACTTGCTTCGATTTTCCCATTTAGTTTTGTTCTTTAGCCGTTCCAGGTAGACATTGTGTCTCCTAAAGTCGCTTCTCTGAAAGTGTGGAGGTTGCGCTGCTGGGTGGGATGTGAGGCGAAATTTAGCTGGAACGAACGGGGTCTGGTTAGCTTAGTCGTCTGTTCACCGCGTGTAGGCGGGCTCTGCCAAGGGAAATATTTCTTTGTGATGCATACCGACATATAGGGTCTAGTGAGGGTGTTGATTGGTTTGTGAAACCAGTAGTTAGAGATTTGTGCGAGGTAGGCGCACGCACCTGTTGGAGGAGTTTCATCTAGATGTTAGTTTGTGTTTTCGCGTCGTGGAGGAGGGAGGCGTCGTGATTCGGAGGCGCAACGACCACGCCGCTGATTCAGGGTTTGGTCAAATGGATGCATTCGTGAGTACTGCACCACTTTACAATTTTGATGTTTGCAAAGATTTTTTGTTGTTGTGTATTAATAACTTTCATTTGAGCAGTAGTTGGGTTTTTTCTATACATGGGGGCGGTGATCATTAGACAATGGTTGGTTCAAGGGGCACAGGGTTTAGTGGCTGGTTCCGTCTGTATTGACGATGCATAGCTTAAAGTTATGGTTTAGCAGCCATTGTCTTCTTTAACAGAACTAAGACTAGTGTATCACATTCTATCCTGTTCTATTTATTTATTTTTCTTGTTGTTAAAAATCAAGTTTTGTAGCTGCGATTGTCTGTGTTTTGCAATAGGTATTGGAAGCTTGGCAATTACACATGACAAGTTTGTAATGTACAAAATTCGCTGTGTACCTTGTAGGGATTGTTCCAAGAGTTGTTTTTCGGCGAAGAGGCTCTGTGTTAGCGTGGTGGGCATCTTTAGGCAGCGTCTCATCTCCCAACTTTAGGCTGACAACTCTAAGTGCATATCATCGTTCTTTTTGGCTACTAAGACAGATATCTGTTGACATTCTAATCGGTGCTCAACTACAGCAGATGCTCAGTGGGAGAAATTGGAGGTAGCAACGCATTAAAAGATGGCGAACAGTCCAATCAGTTCTCTGGAACCTAGGGTGGTTGTGGGCCTTGATTTTGGAACCACGTACTCCGGGTTTGCCTTCGCACATGTTACGGACCCAGAGAAGATTTATGCGCACTTTGACTATCCCAAGGCAACCGGGGAAAAGCATTACTGCAAAACTGTAACGGCTTGCTACTACAAAAAAAGAGCTGACGGTGTGGGCGGTTGGAAATTTAAGTCATGGGGTTATCCTGCTCGTGCAGAGTACGAGAAAGATATTCTCACAGTGCGCAGACATCGCTCGAGTGATCCAAACGAGGATCCATCACAACCTACAATTGGGCAATTCTTTGTTAGATTCAAGCTTCACCTAGCATCACCGTCATCCGCACCAAAGCTCCCAGACTGGCTTAAGGTGGATGTACTGATTACAGATTACTTGCGTGAAATGGGAGGTCTCATCCTCAGGACCTTACAAGATCATTACGGAGCTGGATTGACGAAGGAGGCGATCCAGTGGTGCATAACAGTTCCGTCCATTTGGGATCTTTCTGCTAAGGCAGTGATGAAAAACTGCATGGTAAATGCGGGTTTGGTAGGTGGGATTGATGGGAGTCCCCACCCACTTGTTATGGTCCTGGAGCCGGAGGCCGCGTCATTTCATTGTCACAAAGTCATGAGTCAAGAGTTTCTTGAAGTTGGGGACAAGCTCCTGGTAGCAGACATCGGCGGCGGCACCTCTGATATTGTTGTGCAGGAGGTTATCTCTGTGGGTAGTAATTACAGAGTGAAGGAAGTGACTACCAGCTCGGGGGGCTTGTGCGGCGGCACATACGTGGATGCGCGATTCATGGAGTTTATGCACAGAACTATTGGGCCATGCTTTAGGGAGTGTTTAGATAGACACCCAAATGTTCAGGTTGCTTTGATGAAGTCGTGGGAAACTGCCAAGTCTAGCTTCGGTGATCCTGCAACTAGAGAAGAAACCATCGATCTCAATCTCCCAACAAGGTTAGTGGCACTGTGGGAGGCCTACGACCAGACGTTGGGTAATCCTGAAAGAGAATCATACGACGAATTAGAGATCACATACAAGCAGATGCAATCAATATTTGATCCCGTAGTAAAAGAGAATTTGAGGCTCATTTCTCGTCAGTTGGATCAAGTGGGCACGGTGAAGATGCTTGTAGTGGTAGGAGGGTTTGCAGCATCTCCTTACCTTATGGAAAACATCAAACGGAAGTTCTCAGGCGTAGTACCGCACATTCTTAGCCCCCCAAACCCAGGAAGTGCAGTATGTCAGGGTGCTGTTGCATTGGCTTTGAACCCTGATACTATCGAATCTAGAGTATGTAAGAGAACATATGGTTTTAGTTGTACGTATAAGTTCGAAAGAGGAGTGGATCCACCTGAATACATGAAAGTTGTCGACGGAGTAGAGAAATGCAGAAGGCGGTTTCAAATCTTCGTGCGAAAGGGTGACAAGGTTAGAGTGGACAGTTGCATCAGCAGGATACAACGACCAGTAACCCGAGGTCAGAAAAGTATAAGGTTTCAGCTTTTCAGCAGTGATGAAATTGAGCCGAGATACGCTCTAGGGCATTCTGTTAAGAAAGAAGGTGAAATCGTGATCGACATATCGAGGGACATGCAGAAGGACAAGGGTCGTGAAGTGAAGCTCTCTTTGTTTTTTGGGAGATCCTCTCTAGAAATCAAGGCCGAAGCTGTGAACTTCATGATGGAAGGACCTCAGCAACATTTAGAGCTTCCAGTGGAAGTTGATTACTGTGGTGCGAGCTCTCCTGTACACCTCGAGACGTTCAAAACCTTTTAAGTTTTATTTTCTCCACGTTGAGAGTGAACTTCATAGCTCACAAGCTGGGTTCAGTTCTCATGAGGAGAAAGGGCCCGTAGTGAAGACATCTTTTTAAACCATGCACAGTTCTGGTGGACATAGGCCATGTACATTACTTTTAGCTAGGAAATTGCATAGAATGCAGCTAGTGTCTGTCTGGCAGGTGAAACTCTGAGTGGTTCAGTCGGTTATTGATGCGATGAATTTGGTTCATAATTATTGTATTATAATCATCGAGTGAAATCTCTAGAACGTTTTGCTCACACGCTTCTTTCAAGCCTACTAGCTGGGAAATCAAAGCATCCCGTTCGTGAATGGAGGGAATAACTTGCAGTATCAACGCAACCTCGTACGATGCAGGCTTCCAGATTCTGTTCAAATTCTCATAAAATGTGAGTTCCGTATATTAGGAAGAGCAAACATCTTCACTGATTCAGTTGAAGGTGCCCACTGTACCCCTCCTGTTTGTTCTCTCAAAAGAAGAAAGAGAAAGTTGAAGGGGTGTCATTGAAGCTAAGAAAAACTGAATTCGAAGTCGTATAAATCAACTGTGTACTTGCTTAAGAAGCATATCTCTACTTATGAACAGTCTAAATGAGATATTACACTGATGACGCAATGGAAACGCTCAAACCAACAAAAAGTATTTTTTGAAAGTCGTAAATCAACTGGCTTTTCTATTCTAACAATTGATGACCGTGTGGCCCAATGGATAAGGCGCTTGCCTACGGAGCAAGAGATTCTGGGTTCGATCCCCAGCATGGTCGTACCGCGAGAAGAGCTTTTTTGGAAATCCTCTGTCTTCCGTTGTCGACATTGGGAAATGGGCCTTCCATAATTCCCGATACGTTCCTTCGCAAGTTGCGGGGCGGCCACGCGACGAACAATGTCTTGTATTTTAGGCAACATCATCAAACACATCACCAACCAAGTGTTATGAGACCTCGGTTCTCCTGAAAGTTAGTAACCCTGACTTCGATATGGTTCGATTGGCCGGCAGAAATATTCCTCACCTTTCTGCACGCTTGCTCTGCCTAGATCAACAACATTCTCTGAAGTGTGGCACTGTAGATTACACAACACTACTAATCCTGAACGACTCTTCAACCAGGTATCTTTCACATGATGGCAAGGGTGGAATACCAGTTCGTCCCTCTGATGTCGATGTTCATGTCGCTTTAGTTACAAAGAAAAAAAGAGTTCCAGAAAAGCCGTGGCCATTCTAAGGCTTACAAAAAACAGAAAAACACTTGAATTTCAATACCAGCTTGTGAGTTCCTAAACAACAAATTCACGCTTAACCATTTGTAGAAGGCTTTCGATACAACAGCTCATGCTTATCTAAACCTTAAAGATACACCTCTTGGAACCATCTTGTTAAGCGCAGACGCTCCAATCTCGTCAACAATTTAGGAACAGAAACTGCTTCTTTAACACTCGCAGCGATATCAAAAAAATAAATTGCAATTCGACTCCGAACAGATCATCATTGCAAGAGCCCAAGTCATTTCAGAAGAGTTAATCATCTTGTTCCCTTCAAGCATTACGCTGTCAGAGTACACACCCTCCAAAGACCCAAAAAACGGAACGCCAATAATCGAAATACAAAAACCAGCTGAAGATCGCTTCTTAAACCCTGAAAACCCTAAACTCCTCAGAGCATCTTCGATTGCATACACCAGGATCGACGACGACGACTCACAATGCGGTTCCAAAACATTTGAGCAGGCAGCAGAGCATCGTACGCAGACCCCAGCAATCAATCTTACGGCAACTTGAGAGCGTGTAGAAGCTTACATGGCTATGGCGGGCTATGGCGGGCTATGGCGGGTTATGGCGGCCATCGCTGCGACGCTCCTCTCCGTGCTCAGGAATTCTGATCACGGTTGGATGAATGAAGTATTTTCAATGGGTGATGGTAAAATCATCCCTTTTTCGTCAATCCAATTCATTAGTTCAAGAATATATATATATATATATATATATATATTTTTACCCCCATCTAGCACATGCCTTTTTAAACCAATTAATTCTTTTTTATTCAATACTTTTCAAACCATTTGATTTAACAATATTTTTTGATTGGAATAAAAAAAACTAAAAAATTATGACAAGTGGAGGAAGTAGAAATTAAACAAAGAGAAAATTTAAATAGTTTTGGAAGTAATTATTTTTAAAAAATCATATGAATCCATACATGTACACATGCTCTCAAAGATTCCAAATGAATGGCAGTTCTCGACTGCAACCCTCGCTTCATTTCATGAGCTCTATATAACAATGAATACAGCCTTCGGCAGCATAACATACTTGAAAAATGTTAAAATAGTGGTTAACGAAATCAGATTAAAGACAAAGACTCATGTAGTCACTTCTACTTAATGGTGTTCTAATTCATTCTAAGTTCAAATGTGTATGGAAATTCTTTTTGAAATGTAGATGAGTACGAACAACACTTGACAAGTAAACTGCAACATCATGAGCAAAACTACGTCAGGAGCTTCCCCGTTTCATAAATGAACAGAATCTAGTGCTTGAGGGAGTGAGAAAAGCTGCAGCTGTGTGATATTAACAAAGCAGCATTAAAAGAATCCAGAATAACATAAATAATAGGATCACAATTCTCTACTTTGGCTTCCATAAGGCAAATTTTGAACGTTAGCCAACGCTTTTTTGGCAAGCTTACACCTCTTAACTAAAATGTCACTATTCTCTGAACTTTTCACTTGTTTCAAAAAGCGTTGGTGCAAAAAGATAGCTATTCCATCTTTCAGGCCAGTCAACTCTGCTGAGCTTGCAATACGTGAGAAAGCCTTCCAAACCACCTCATTGCTGTACTCCCCAAGCAAGTACTCAAACATAATACGGAAATGTAGAAGGACCTTCGGAGTTAGCTTTTGTATGTCAACAAAATCAATAACCTTCACAACCGACAGTGAAATCGAGGAGGATCCGATTAGCGCTGCAGTCAAGCGGGCAAGATTTGTGCTTCGCCGAAGCTCCATTGAATCTAGCTGCTTGAGGTGATCCCAAAGACAATACTGCACAGTGGGTACGAGTCATGCGTAATCAGTTACGAAAAAAAGGGTGACAAAAAAAATTTAAAACTAATCAAGAGATAAAAAAATCACCCTTCCCTGAACCGGAGAATCGAAAGCTCACAAGCAAAACATGCCTTTCATACTGAGATCTATTGATACCTGGAACGAGAATTTATGGTTTTTGTCGTGGTTGCAGAGCCTCGTTACTATCAAAGCATAGTAAGGGTTGTATGCCCGCTCCTGCATACAACACTCCACAATAACTCGCACCACCTCTCGATCCTGCACCAAAAGAATAGTATTGGTAGTACGTGCTTGATCCCATTAGAAGAGTAATCAAAGCCCTCTATGAATAATAATTGAGAATATTTTCTACAAATTCCATTACTCTCCAAAACTTTAAATAGTTGAGCAATGACTTCAAGAAAAAATAATACGCTGCAGCATTGATGGAGGTGGAAAGGCCTTCCATCTTACTTGCTTTCCAGGCAGCTTCAGCCGCAAAATCTTCTCAAATGCATCTACACAATCCTCAGCGCTCATGATAATACAAAATAATGCCCGCCGTGCATCAGTATTCATTCGTTGTGAAGCTGCAAGTTGGAGCATCTTGTCTGCTTCAGCAGCGCCTCCGTCTATGACCCCAGCTAACTCTGCCCTTGTACCAGCCAAATTATCCTCTCCACCTGGCGGCCCTGGCAACCACCACTGGCCCTTCTTCTCTGGCTCTAATAGCTTTTCCCACGTGACAGATCGTAATTGCACATCCTCAACTCCAAGCTGAGGAATCACAGAAATACTTGATCATTAAATATCCATCTTTCCATGCGCCCATCAATTCAAAGTATATATTTCTTAATTCTACAAGTGCCACACACATACCTCAGCATTAAAACTTCAGTTATAATTACGATAGTATTAGATCTAAAGCTAAACATGTCAAAAGAATCAGATAAAAGTATTGATTCTGAAGCCTGCGTTCAGTTTACATGCATCACTGACTTTCTGGAGCCATTTTTTGAGGCGCATGTGATGGGCGGGATCATCCTTGGCTCGCCGCTTGTTATTCTTAATGTCACAAATCATATCCAGCATGAATTGAACCTGCTTAACGCAAAAGTAGCATACACGCTTGTTATATATCACAAAAATGAAAAATATAATAGAAAGTTATAAAACTGTACTCGAACTTACTACACCACTTTATTGTAAGCTCGTGAAATAGAACATGTGAATAGTATTAATACTGAAAACTCCACAAGAGGCGATACTAAGTCAGAAAAAGCAATCAAGGGGGTTTAAAATTTTGTACAAGAGCAAAAATGTTCCGTTCCAAGTGTTACACGAATATGTGGCTACAGTGAAGATTATGAAGACTGTCATTACAACGTGGCAAAGCAGTTATATGTAAAATCAAACTCACCCTTTTACCAAGATCCACAGGTTTACCATTATTGCTGCCAGAGAGGGTAGCCTTCAGCTCAGCTGTGCGTTGCTGCACAGCGACGACAAATTCTTTCATTGACGCTGGGTCTGCAGCTCTGAGACCCATCCCACATGCTGCACATTAGCAATACCAGGGTGCCGTGGAATGAGAACAAGCATTGGACCAAAGCCGCCATGAAGACGGAGAATGAAGGAATTCCGAAAAGTAGCGAAAAATGACGTACTCAGACACGTCAATCTATGCTATAAACTCCAGAACGAGAGATGCAATATACACAGATGCACACGTGAGTAAACTTGAAATTGAATTAGAATCGCGAATTCAGGAAAAAGAGGCAATTTCTCACATTGTAAGAGGGCCAAAATAGTGGCAACATCAAGCTCCTCAAAGCGTTTGCACAGCATGCCTAACAAATCATACACCAGCTCGCTGTAGAACCATTTTTTCACACGTAAGTTGTCTAGGTCATTCAATGAAAAGTAAAATAACACTAGTTAAGTTGTTACAACTCCTGCACTGTAGAGTCGCCAAAGGTTCTTTAATATGTCATTTTTAGTTCTCTTACATACAAGAGATGCAACAGAAATACTTCTATAAATTAGCGCCCACATCTTCAACGCAGGAACAAACCGAAAACAAATTCAAAAAATGATAAAGAAAATTCTTACAACTATTACCTAGAAATAAGGTTGAAGGAGTATAAGTTAGCAAAAAGCAGCGCAAGATTTCGCAATGCAAGGCTGTCATGCTTTTCATACTGTTCCTATAATATCATAGATACAAAAAATAAAATAAATTAAAAAGTCACAATGAGAAATTGCGATTCAAAGAGAACTACGTTTCTGTAAAATAGACTCCCAAAAACCTGATTACGATTCCGGATAACCAATGGCAAAGAAACCATAAGCCTGACAGCAAAGATGAAGATGTAACTGGTGAATCATTATGTCAATTCACGACTATCACAAGTACTCAGATGCCCCAATAACTTATCTAACTTTACCCTCAACTTTACAAAGGCAAGCTTCGCAAAAAGATGTATTAAAAACCTGTTGACAAGATTAGCGAGGCGAAGCTATCAGCTCAAAATTACCTCAAATGCGATAGCGAGAGAAGCTAAAAATTTCGCTCCAAAATCCATACCCACCATCGTTGCTGTTCCAGCCACATAGGCAGCAAACACTGCTGCAAATCTTCATCGATAACACAAGACGTTATTGGTGCAGATGCCTCCCACACAGAGTTCAAAAAGTGCAACAGGAAATAACAGAACTATTGAACCATTCATTCAAAAAAAAAAAAAAAAAAAAAAAAAAAAATACTAGATAGATGAGATGGCGGGCGCCAACAAGATGTGAAAATAGGATAAGTAACGTTCCATTTTAACAATCAAGGCCAACAAGAAACAACATCAAGAGGGGAACCAATACCAAATGCCAACCTGTAACAATCTATCCCCTCTACGTCCAAACTCCCCCAAAAAATGAGGCAAATGTCCGGAAGCACTTACTGATCATTTCCTCGAGGACCTCCGCAACAGGCACCAATGATTTCGTCAGTCACTAATTCAGTAACCATGCGTCGCCCATGTGCCTGCGAGTCAATGATTCTTGCTGATTATTAAACTTCTCAACGCTATGGACTATTCTCACAAATACAAGTTTTACTGTGTAGCATGCATAAAACAATAGGCCTCCGTTGAATCTCAATTATGATCTAAATTTGTCTACTACTAGAAAATAGAAACAAAGAGGTTTTCAGAAATTCAATAGAAGCTGTAAAAGATGAAGATACAAGAGAGGGAAAAACGAAAAAAAAGACAACAAAATCAGGGTAGGAGTGACTCCACATACTACAATTATGGATATTACATCTTCTGACAGGTACACAACCAAAACCTTCACCAGAATTCAGTGAATCTAAAAAAGAACAGTACTCCCAGCATGCACAGTTTTTCACGAAAGAAGAAGAAAAGAAATAAAAACTAAAAAACCTGGAAAAGAAGGGAGACATCAGAAGCTATCGATTCCACGTTTGCCTCAGAAAGCCTGTTAAGGAGACCTGTAACAACAGAACCCTGTCAACGGAAGTACATATACATAAAAATACCACGATAGGTTGTTAAAAAAACGATTGTACAAAACAAGGTACCTTAAATGCAGTCATGGTCCACATTAAAAACAAGGGAAATCCAACTCAAGGAGACAATCGAGATCATACCTCTGAGACGTCGTTGGATGCGGATGGTCTCTTCAGATAAGTCATTAGACTTTCCTCTCAAATGAGGAGGGATATATTTAACTCCATCTACTTTCTTCCTACCATAGATGTCAGTCTCGCCATCTTTTCGATTGCTCCTCTCAGTCAGATTCTCTTTCTTTGATTTTGCTCCATCGAGTAGATTAACATCCTTGGCATCATCATCAGAATCCTCCGCTTCATCTACTTCTCCTGCCTCATCGTCTTCTCCTTCCTCATCTGAACCCGAGTCAGAGTCATCGACCTGTTCACTATCCGAACCACCCTCACTTCCATTTGTTTGAAGCTCTAATCCTGACTCTTCATGGTCCTCTACCTCGCTCCCCAATTGCTCGTCCTCAGCATCGTCTGAATCAGTTCCACTCAGGCTAGAGCCATCTTCATCATCCATGAACATATCTTGCAAAGAACCATCACTATCGTCATGGTCACTACCAATTAGGTCATCTTCACTTTCCACTTGCTTTTGTTTCTTCAGCGAAAGAGGTTCTGCGTCAGGCACCAAATTCTTTTTCTGACAGCCACGACCCCTGGAACCCGCTTCTTTGGTTTCTAATATCTCAGCACCTTCGTCAAGTCCATCTAGAATATCAGCCATCCCATCGTCGAAACCTCCCAATTTTCCTCCTTTGACTTTAAGCTTCTTAGCCAACCTGCGCTCAAGAGCTATATCTGCCTCTGCATTGATGAGTGCCGCCTTCTGTAAGTCCCTTTCAAGGAATTCCTCAAACTTGGTTTTCCGTTTCTTCGCCTTCTTCTCATCTTTATGTGGCGTTCTGCTCCGAGCACCTTTACGCTCCACAGCAGGTGCTACAGGAGTGACCAACTTAGGTTTGTCCTGCCGAGGAATCTCCTGCTTAGACTCATGGCCTTCCTTAACTTTCACAAGCGACGATGGATCTTCTGACGCAGGCTGCTGTTTTTCAGCTGCTTTCTGAGCCCTTCGCCGCTTTCCAGCCTGATGAATCACCCACTGATGAAGGCGTTGCTGGGTTTTAGCCCGCCTCGCTTCCTTCCGCTTCTCCTTCCTAGACTTCACTACCTGAATCGCCTGCATCATACCAAACATACGTGCAACCAGATCAATTCGAAATCCTCACAGAGAATAAAACCTAAAAGTCCCTAATAACTAAACAATCCTTAACTACTTCGTCATTCGATATCTGAATCCTTAAACCTTAAACCCGGAACCCTAGTGATTGCACCAAGTTCAAAACACACACATGCCCAACAACCCCAAATATCTTGAAATTCGATCCGAAGCAACTGCAAAGGCTTTCGAAAACTATAAAGCTAGGCTTACAGGAGCCTGAGGCCGGGCGGAAGCACCCTGGGATCGCGCTGTCGGCGCCATGGCTGCAACTGAAACTTGAGTTCCACTGTGCAATCACATTGACACTCTGCTACAAAACTGCTCCCATGGATGAACACTAAGGTATGCCAAGGATGAAGACCACTCCAACCGAATGCATCGGTAATTTACCCCGTTGATTACAAGGATGATACTCTACATGACCGTCAATGAATGTTCACACTTGACCGGCAAGCAACCTCACACAACCATGTTGTGGGGGACGTGTTAAATTTTGAGTTCCATGTACGTGTGACACTCGTCGCCGTCAGGAAGAAACTGGGTTACGATCGATGCTGCAAAGCTTGCGGTTGCACGGTATCGTCAGCTTGAGGAGCAGATTGTGAAGAGTGTTTGCAGTGATGGCGATGGCGCTGCGGTGGCGAGGATGCGCGCGTCTCTGGCATCGCGGTGTCTACAGAGGTCTCCATTTGGGTCCTCTGGAACAGCCGGAATCCCCACAACCGAGTCCTGATTCCAAATTCACCAATTTCGGTGAGCACGGAGGATGAGCATTTTGCTTTTAGGTTGGATTTGAGAGATGATGAGAGTGAGGGGTCGGAAAATTTGCGTTCAGAGATGGGGAATGCACAAGCAGAGATATGTGGGGCAAATCTTGGCGAGGCTGCGGTGATCGCATCAAATTTGATCGGTTAGGTGGTTTGGGTGGAGTAGGGTTTATGCGGAGAATCATACTGACAAGTGCTGATGTTGAAGATACTTTTGCATTTTCGTATAAGACAAAGGTATCGATAGAGGAAAGGAAATGGATTGCAACCTCTTCTGAACATAGGTTTTTAACGACCAACTTACTGCAGGCTCGTGTTTCGTGTAAAATGTTGGTTCATTTGCTTGCTGGCATTCTTTGGCTTTGTCACGTGGAAATCTAACAAACGAGTAGCGATTGTAATTTCTCTAGTTGGCAGGCAGACTCTGCTTTCTAATTTCTGGTGCTAAAATCATGGTTTAAAAAAGGAATGATCAGTATGCACAGAGCATTCGAAACTGAAATCCCAAAGTGTTAAATCTCGAATGGTGCTGAATGCATCCGTATTTAAGTTCATCATCGATTTGTTTCAGAGAACTAGGCCGTAGGATGTGGGTGTTGAGGGCTAATCTTGTTCTCTACTACGGCTGTGTTGTAATATGGAAAAGGGTTTAGGGAAGTACCTGAGCAAGAGAAATCGAAGCTGGTTGGGGAGGTATTTTCGAACGTGGCTTCAAACTATGACCTCATGAATGATCTTATGAGTGGAGGCTTGCACCGCCTCTGGAAAGACAGGTATCTCTTTGCTGGAGCTAATTTATTGCTGGTGGTATAGGTTTTAATTTCAACCTCATGTATTATTTGTTAGTGATCTATCGAGGATTCTGTGTTGAAAGAGCATCTCGTTTCAACGACTTAATACGCATAGCACTATGATATTATTAATTACGACGAAAATCAAGTGCATTATGTGTTCGCTATTGGTACCAAGCTCTGTCTGGAAAGCAGATTCTAACTTCTCATCCAATGCCTGAGAATGAGTCAATTGTACAACATTTCGTTCCCCCAATTGGCTATCGATTTCTCGTAATTGCATGTGCTGCGACAGCGTAACATTCTTTAGTCTTCTCTGTGGTTCTAAATCTTCCTTCATGTGAGATGCAGACTGGTGTCTCAGTTAGCTCCGTTTCCTGGCATGCAGCATTTGGATGTGGCTGGGGGTACAGGTAAACACCGTTTTGGCCATGGACAGTTTTAAATGCGAAATTTTAGTGACTTCAGTATTGCTTTCCAATTTCAGTCGAACACCCTATTTTCACCTTGTGTCGTGCCATGTCCACCCATTTTATTTGCAACTATTTCTCAGCATTATTATGACCTAGATTTGTTCGCAGCCCAAAATATTTTAATGCCTTTTGAATAAAGCTGATAATTCTGGTTCCTTTTGGTCATACTGATTAAGTTTCTGTAATCTCTCTAGTGCGCATGCTCGATATGAAAGCTGTCATGACGATAAAACTGGGATCCTGGTGTGTAGGCGATGTTGCGTTCCGTGTTGTTAATGCAATTCAGAAGGCCGAGCAACGTGTTCCTGGCAATACACTAGGTAGTGTTGATGAAGAGGATCGGACAAAAGTTTATGTGTGTGATATCAATCCTAACATGCTCGAGGTTGGGAAAAAACGAGCCAAAGAGAGGGGTAAATTTCTACTTATTTGTCAGAAGTTGGAAATTCACATTGTTTAATTTGAATGTACTTAAGAAAAACCAAAACTGAACGCCTTCGATGTGTATGTCTTTGTAGCAGAATTTTTTTACCTGTTTCGTCTTGATAACAAGTAGCAGAATTTAGAGGTGATGAAGCAGTGATTGGCATTGTTGTCAATACTTGTCTCATACTCTGATCGGAATTTGTTATTTGGATCCTTGTAGCAACATGCAGCTGAGTATTGAATTTGCTACGTATGTGTTGCCTCTGGCGTTCTAGAATTCGCTAGTTCCAATGACCTTAATCTGATATAAGTTTTTTCTTCTTCCATTGGGAAAAACAGGACTGGGAAATGCTGCATGCTTAGTCTGGATGCAAGGAGATGCTGAAGCACTTACATTGAACGACGAAAGCATGGATGGCTACACCATCGCCTTTGGCATTCGGAATGTAACACATATTGATCGTGCTTTGAAAGAAGCCTACAGGCATGTACTTATCACTTGTATTTCTTTGCCATCGGTGGGTTTTATGGAAATCTAATGGTACCTAAGTTTTGACGTTTAAATCATCTTTATTGCAGAGTATTGAGACGAGGTGGACGATTTCTGTGCCTTGAACTGAGCCATGTATCTACACCTGGATTTAGAGAAGTGTAAGTGACGCACGACCTTGTTATTCTTATCAGATACTTTCAACCAGAGCTACAGCAATATGACGCCTAACGTTTCCTTTTAATTACTTTTGGGTTGCAGGTACGATGCCTATTCTTTTAATGTCATTCCTAGGATAGGTGAGGTGGTGTCAGGTGATCGAGCATCGTATCAATATCTGGTGGAGAGTGTTCGCAAGTTTCCAAACCAAGTACGATTTGACCGTTAACCTTGTGCATTAACCTTTCAGAGATAAGATTCCTCCAGTATGTGTCTTATTCCAGTTATTATTCTGAGTCCCTTTCAGAATTTTACGGCAGTAAGTTTTGATGGTGCCCATCATTGCTAAGGAAATGCACCTGGATGAGTACTGTTTGAACTCGAACTGTACGACACCAGACATGTATTTTCCTAAAATTTGTGAAGTATTCAGAATATGATGTAGGTTTTGAAGATCTTGAGTCTATAAGCTTCGAAATTTTTTGTGCACGTCAAGTTCAGTAAGATTGAGTGGTATATTCTGGGATGAAGGTGATCAATGTCAGCGTACAACCTCTAGCTTGGTTTGATTTGGCTCTGTGTTCGCATAGAAGGTAGTTTGATTATGAAACCCCTATCACGAACTCGGAGTCTCATCATCAATTAATTTCAAGGTGTTTTCTTTTATGCAGGAAAAATTTGCATCTATGATTGCTGATGCAGGTTTCAAAGATGTGCAATATGAGAATTTGGTGGGTGGAGTAGTCGCTATACATTCTGGTTTTAAATTGTAGGCCTACAATCGCATCTTATTTGAAGTTGAAATTGTGTAGCGTTTAGATCCTGGTTGTTAAACTCATTCTGCTGGAGGAAAACGAAGCTGGAGAAGTTGTGTGGATGAGTATTTTTTTTTTGTATGAAACTCTGCCGCCTTCCGTTGTGTAAAGAGAACACGCGGTGTTGTGACTTGATGTAGTAATCACATCTTCCATTTGGCTATACAACACCTATCCTTCATGTCTTAAATTTTGATCTGGTGCAAATATGAATATGAGAACTATGAGAGTGTGTTGAAAAATAGGCCAGGGTATCCACTGTGCTGTCAGTATCATGAATGCAATTAATGAGATTGTGGACTTGTATCGTGTTTAATGGTGAGTGTAAGGATGCAGCAATTCTAGCTGTTGAAAATCATCAAGGGCTTATCTAAGCTCAAAAATGGCTTCAAGGCAGCCACAAGTTTAGCACCAATACATCGGCATATTGGTAAATCTCCCACGCCAAAGTAAAGCAGAGAAGGAGCACTTATAGATATGTATTGGTATATCGATATGTTGGTGTTATACTTCCGCTTTTCTTTGGCGTGGGAGGTATTGTCAGGAAGTACAGTAATCAACTCTGCTGATTTCCCTTCAACTTCATTATCGTATTCACGTCAACTTTCTCACTAAGGGTATCTATTCTAATCACTTTTGGATATGAGAAAACAGATTGAGTAGGCCTCAATAACTCGAGCCAACTTGTGCCAACTTCAGGCGTAAAGGACACTGACATCATGTCACGAAGTTGTGGATAAATAAATTGGGCCATTATAAACAATATGGCCTTGAAATTTCGGGAAATTTTCTATCATTATCAAGATCCTCTGACCCTCGTCTGTCTTGTAGCGATCTCTAAGAACTACCGTTTCTGTCTGTTTCTCAACAAATTTTGTACATTGACCAACTTTACGTTCAGAGCAGTACCAATGCCATCTCTGTAGAGATTGCTACTCAGTTTGTTTGGAGCGTTCGGTGCCAAGGGTAGACATTAGCTTCGAAACTGGTGCAATAAACTCGAATTGTTGTATCTGGTTTTGCTTGCAACTTAAAGATATGTAGCCTACACATGTTTCTAGATCTTGGCTGTGACCTACAGGAACTAAATTCGACGTTGTACAGCGCGTGCTTTACACTTAAGTAGCAGGTGATCAGATCTGTATGAAGGCCATCGTGTTTTAGAGAGAAGTGAGGGTTCATATGGGGGATTTTGGTCTTGAGCGAGAAGTGTGTTTATCCTTGTGGTAGCAGGCATTGTGGATACTGTGAGGTGCGCATGAATATCGTCATCAGCAAGCTAGAAATCTGCAGCCCTAGCCAAAAGCAAAATCTTCCTAGCCGATGTGCCTGTGCCGTTGGCAGGTCTCCTGTTATCAGGATGTGCTTGCGCACACGTTTCTAGATCGTCTGTCAGATTAAAAGGTAGAAAAGGGAACACTTGCTCCAAAAATAATGTTGAAACAAAAAGACTGAACGACTACTAACAGTGGCGTTTGACAATTAGTGACTGCGTCAGTTTTAAGCAGCATATTAGTCTAACATGAGCGTTACGCCCTTCCTTCAAGTGTCAGCGATTGGTTCTCTCTGCTGTTTAATCAATCTACCCACTTAAGTTCCGTGATCATCAGTCTAATTGTTCGCAGTTTTAACAATATATGTCTAGCCATTTAGGGTATTTCTTTCCTTGTGTGGTATATTCTCCAACCGCTTTCACTGTCCGTTTGTCTGGTTTCCGTCAATACCCGCACTTCTCTCGTTAATTGTACAACTGTTCACTTCAGTTGAAGTACTTCCTACATTACTGAGAGGTTCACGAATCATCCAAGAAGTTTATTTCTCTTTATTTTGTACCGTTGATATATAATAAACAGACACTTCAAAAAACTTAACCATCTGGGCACTCAGAGTTTGCAACTCAACAAGTGCGGTCAGCTCAAAACCCAGAAAGCATTCATACACCCAACAGATAAGAATTCTTGATACTCAAGGACAGATGCACAGATGTGACGAACCACTAAAACTATGAGAACGAAGCTGATCCTCATTCATAGTTCGACAGTGATGCAATCAGATGGAATGCTTAGGGGAAAGTTGAAAGTGTCTCAGTTTATTATGACAATATCACAAGGCAAAAGGGAAGGATTCGCAGAAAAGAAAAGAAAAGAAAAAACCATTCTATCTGAATGATGAAGGGATTGAATTGCGAGGAGCAATTAGCAACTCCTACAAAATCAAAATCTTCTCAATATGATAGAAATTAAGATGTTCTGAAATTAAGTAAGATCAATTTACAAGGTTATTTATTAATGACAGTCAAATCAGCAGAGAGGAAATGGCCTCGTCCACTAAGAATTGAGTTGCTTAAAGCAATGACCTGGGTGTTCTGGTAAAGGAAACTGCGTAAAATCCCTCAACCTGAAAGCGCGAATGAATTGGGAACACCCTGCAACAAAGCTTTAGGGTAGATATAGAATTCAATCACAAGAAAGAGAATGAGATATAGACAAGATCAAGCGCAGCACCATGACCAAGCCACCTTGTCAATGGCAGGTCATCGGAAACCCCTACCACATGACTGGCATTCCAAAAACTCCTGGAACTGAGTAAAATTAACATTAACTTTAAGTGCCCACTCTCGTGACTAAGGAATGAGAAGATATCCACACCGTAAGCTGTGGAGTTTGTGAAGTGCACAATCAGCACTTAATGGTGGAACGCAAAGGGATGGCTCCACGGATACGCTTCACATACGCTTGGTACTCGCTGTAGTGCATGGTGTACAGAGAGCTCTGATACCGAGTGATGCGGAACTTGCGTCTCATGGACTCTGTGATTTGTCCCGAGTATCCCGCCTTCCGGACAAGAGAATCCACTGTTTCTATTTTCGTCCATCCTACGCAATAGCCCAATTTCGCCGTTTCGTAAGCCTCGAACTGACCAGTAGACAGTAGAAAATAGGAAGAAAACTTCTAAACTTCATAAGCATGATATGACGGCATTATTGTATAACGCTTCGCACAGACGATGACTCAGACACAATGAAGTAACGAAGCTACTGTGTTGAGGCTAAAGCAGCAGACAACCAGGACGTAGATTAAAATGTCTACCTTCCTGCGCGGCAACCTCGGGTAAATAGGTGGCACTCCTCCTCGTGCCGTCAGGGTCGGTGAACTCTAAAATCATTCCATGTTCGCCAATCTAAAATCCAGAGCCAAGACAAATGGTCGTAACGATGTTCTCTAACACAACTCCTACAGCTAACTCAAATCCTAACTCAAATACATAAAAACAAAAAATAGGAAGAAAAAACTTGTGCGCACTACATACAGGAGCCAAATAATAATAATAGTAATCTTCAAGGTTACCTGATACCCTGTGAGTTAAACAATCAGGCGGGACAGGTTTCTATTAAAAAAAACAAACAATCAAAAAAGTAAATTATGTCCTGCGTACCTCCCAGTCAAGGTAATGAGCTGCGGTTTCGTAATCTGTTAAGAGTGACACCGTGCATTCCAAGTAAGGGAGCTCGCGTGCCTGAATTGGAGGGAAGCGGCGGTCTCGGAGAGCACTGCAAAATAAAACTTCTCTGTTTAAGATCCCTATGTAATACCCATCACAGCACATTCATCAAAGCACCTGATGGATCTGCACCACCCCCAAATTTAAGGGAGACAAAAACAGCAATGTGAAGGTGATCGAGTGGCCAGTATGGTAAAAACAGACAGAAAAATCCCGAATAAACGAAGAAACAGTCCAGTCCAGAGCTGAACTAACTACCTTGTGAGCGCATAATCTTTGAACCCGGTGATGATATATCGGGCTTCAAGCGTGCCAATGCACCCCCGCAAGCGTGGTTCCCCACCATTCAATACTTTCTTCCATGTAACAAATAAAGGGCTGTCACAGAACCCACAAATCACAGTCAACACCCAAACTCTGAAAACATACGCTCCGGCGAATTGGGACTCTCTGAAGACATACATGCGGTAAACAAGCCCTGAACTTGGACCGCCATGATACCCAACCCTGGGCAACAATTCTCACCACACGGAGACAGATACAGAACGAATAAGAACGCGTTACACCTATGTCATTTCAATATTAATTTTAGCAGAGAGGACGGGACAAGAAAACATGGGAATCCTCAGCAGCATAAGCAATTACACTGATACCCATGAATAGACATGATAGAGAGAGTCACGCAACCCTAAACAATGAGGACAGAGACACCAAGCATACAGCGTCAAATTCCATGAAAAGTGGTTGATAAGAGTATAAAAGGTGGAAAACAAAGAGCAGTTCGACACGTCTGCTTACATGGAACTGCAATGCTCAAGAGAAACAATCAGGTTGGCAACCACGAGGTAAGTACCACAACAAAGACCAGCAGTAACTAAAATCCCAGTGACAAAAGAACCACGATGTACCCGAACAGAAGACAGCAGGCACACGGAGAAGAAAAAGGCTGTCTCTACATGCCCAGCCTACTCGCTATGGAAACAAAAATATAGCTCCAACAAGCGAGAATTCATGAAGGAGATTGAGTAACAACGAACAACAATGGAAACTTCCCATACCTGAACAACAAGACATGATACTAAAGGGAAAGTCAACATGGAAAAAGAGAATTGAAGGAAATACAAACAAGCATGCAAGGAGAGAAAGTAATAAGAATAATAATAATAATTGGAAAAGCGCGAAGCTTACAACTGCCCTTCTTCGAACGCAGGTGGGGGTACAGCATCGCCCGTGTAATGGGCGACTAGCGTGTCAAAGCAATAGGCCGCCATCTCCATGCTGGCAGACACCATCTTCACCCACTTGCCCTCGCCTTCTTCCTCCCCCGCAATTCTTACGATACTGTCACCAATCCATGCAACCAAAGCCCGCCCGCACTTGGACCACCACTCCACCCTCCTCTCCTCTACCTCTCCCGAAACGCGACCACTCTCACAATCTCTGCTTCCCCCAACAAAAGCTTATCAACCCAATCCACCAAGTCAGCGCCAACAAGTCTCCAATACTTCCCACGCTGCACCCCACAACCCAATTCAACCCCGCCCTTCTACGACAACAAGGCAAACCCACTCCCCACGAACGATGCCGATCCAATCGAGGTTTAGCCTGTACTTTAAGGCTGCGGGAAGGGGGGAGGGGAGGGGGGCTGTGTCACGACACGGAGAACAACAACACAACGATGGCGGAGGGGAGAGAATCCCACGCCAAGGTGCTACTTCCACACAGGAATTTCCGCAGCATTGTGACTCTCACGCATCCTCCCTTCCCTTCCTCTAAATCCCCATCGTCACTTCCAACGCACATCCCTAAATAGTTCCCCCCGAGGGCGTCATCACCCCTTTTCCTTCATCTGCCCCCCCCTTGGGTTGCCCTGGCCCTGGTCCTGCCTGCCCACCCCTTCCCTTCCCATCCCCCCTCGCTTGCTGTGGGTTCTTCGGTTGGTTCGGTTGGTTGGTTCTTCACGGTCCCGCTTCCGGCACGCTTCCTGCCTCCGCCTTGATTGCCGGAATCATTGCCCTGTGCCGTCTTTGGATCTTCACCAGCCCACTACAAATACTAATACTACTAATACTACTTCTTTGACTAGGAGGAGGAAGAATCGCTACCACCATTCTCCACCATTCTCCACCATCCTCATCTTCATCATTAAAGCTGTGCACACCATCGCCATTCCATCCGCCATCATTACTGTGTGCCTTTCGGGGGAGGGGGGAGAGAGGCACGGCGTGCTCCAGATCCCCATGCCCGGACGGGATCACCTACCGACGGACGGGGGTGATGGAGTGGATGGATGTGTGGATGGATGCCTAGTTCTTAATTCCGTGCTGCTCTTCGCCGATAGGAACGCCCTCCCTTCATGGGCTTTTGCCTTTTCCTGGCGGACACGTCACTAGCGTGCCCTTGCATGCGTCGTTCCCCTCTGTTCCACTTCGTTCTGAATTGGGATGCCCTACAGTTCTTTTTACGTTCGCTGTGGGTTGGGAACGTGGTTCGGTCTTTGCAGGGTTGGGTTTGGAAATAGAGGGTTGGACAACCGAGCCGTCAAGTCAAAGTCTCCCTCATGAAGAGGAGGAGGAGGCCTAGTTGGCTTTCATATCTACCACTTCCTTTTTTTTTCCTATTCTTTTTTTTTCTTTTTCTTTTTCTTTTTCTTTTTGGGTACTTTTGGGGGAATTTTCCAAAGATGCATGTAGTATGTGCACATACTATTTCTGCAATACTAATAATAATTACTGTTAGAATGACATAACATAAATACTTGCATTTGAGCTTTTAATGAGTTTTATTATTTTGTATATGATACATGAACAAGGTTTTATTTGGAAATAACCACATAAGATATATATCAACATTAACAAATAAATAAATTTCATTCAAATATGGTATTCCATTAAATTCCTAAAGGAAAAAAATAGATTATATTAAATTACAACTCAAATAATAATTAAGACTTACACTTGTTTTTCTCTACTCAATATTAGAAGTAGTGAACCACAAAATTGTTTGTGAAAAGCTGTTGAAATTAATGAAAAAGCATTATTCAAGTATACTTGACATATGAATTAAAAAAAAATGATAAATAAAAGTAATTGTTCAATTGATCCACCTATCATCATTGATTAAGGTTGAAACCATTTTTTTTCATTGCAATTTGACCAATGTTGATTTGGTAGTTGAGAATTTTTTTGATGATTGTAATGATGGGTGGGTCAATTTGATAGATGCTTGGGTCAATTCAAAAATACATCAAAATTTAAGATTTTGTAAAATAAAAAATCAGTTAAAAAATAAAAAATACACATAAATATATAATAAATCAAACTAAAACTATATATATAATATAAATATATATATATATATATATAAAAACACATATAACTATTGATTCTTTAGTATCAATTTATTATATGAAACCACAAAAAATTAATAATACAAAATAATAAAATAAGAATTTTAATTCCATTCTTAGAAAAAAAAAAAAAAAAAAAAAACTAATAAGTTATATATATATATATATATATATATATATATATTGGTTGCACAACTCTTTAAATATCATTATTTTTTACATCTTCATTTAAAATTTAACATTTAAAATTTTTATATTTCAACATATTTTTGAAAAAAAAAAAAAAAAGTAAAATAAGTATTAAGTTAAATTAAAATCACAACTTTAGTATTGTTCCATGATTTATAAGATTTTGTACTCTTTTCACTTTCTAAACCAACAGTCTTTATAATGTTATATTTAGAATAAAACTCATACACACACACATATATATATATATATATAGATTTTTACTTCATTACATAATTACTTAGAATAGTAATAATCCATAACTTTAAAAAATACATATTTACTTAAAGATATGAAATTAAGATAGTAAATTAGAGAAAAACTATGAATAAATTAAAAATTAAATGAAAAAGAGTCATAATATATGTAATTTGATGAAATGATAAGAAGCAAACGGTGCACATTTTGTAGATAATGTTAATCCATGGTATTAAAAAAATAAGAATAAAAATCACAATTTTATTTATTTATTTATACATATTAGTATAAAATATTTTTATTATAAATAAAGCAAAAAATGCTAAAAAGAAGCACACATTGCAATTGATGCAAACATCTTAATTTTAACCTATAAATAATTAAGAGGATTTTGTAGAAAATTATCTACATTCAATTCTATGAATATATTTTTTTAAGTAGATTATCATTCGTGGGACTTAAATGTAGATAAAGAGTTCTACTATTTGTTCTTTGTTCCAATCTAAATGCAACATGTAGAAAGCATACATGAGGGTAAATCTTCTATCATAAAAATATTCTTGCATTTCTGAAAGTAAACATGTATTACAAAGGTTAATATTCATTGTTAAAATGTTTCACTTTAATCACAAGCTCTTGGGTTTGATTCCGAGTGGCATCCACCGTCCATAACATTAAGCATAAAGTTTTCAAACACCACTATATTATTAATAGAAGTTGCTTTTGGCAATTCTTCTCTTCGACTACTCTACCTTCTCTTGGACTTCCTACTCTAGCAAACATACTTAAATCTTTTATTTTCCCTAGTTCCTAGTATAGGGATTAATTTTTGGTAGCTTCAACATGAGATATTAACAACTTTTTGATTCATTGGTTTAACCTATTGATTTACATCAAATCTCTCAAAAGAAAATTTCCTTGCACATTTTACTACTCTAACCCATACAATTGTACAAAGAATCAACTTCCCTTACGGAGAGAAACGTGGTTCTCATCTACAATTCTAATTGCAATAATAATGAGCAGCAGAGAGAATAACAACAAGGCCTGCAGACACATATCCACACACAGGAGTGGAGTAATCAGCAAGCGACGTAATCTTGGCGTGGATTCAAAGCCTGTGCAGACAAGAGGAGATTAGAATCGGATCGCTCCAGTTCGGACGGCGCCTTTCTGCGCCTTCCATTATTGAATCGGAGCCCTACTTGTAGAGTCGCCGGATAACCAGCCAGTAAGCCAGAGGGGTTCCCCTGCTGACAAGGTCTAGCTCCTCATCCATGGCCACGCTCCCCGGTTGATTGATGACTAAGCACGCACGGAGTGACGATCAGCCTCTTCCTGCGTTGGAGTCTGTTGCGCCGGCAGATTCTGGGCGTCATCGTCGTGGTGTTGCGCATGCTCGTTTCTCTTTTCTTTTGTTTTCTTTTTTCTTTGATTCTGTTTTTAATTTTGGTTTGTTCTGTTCGTTGGGTTTTTGTCTTCCTTCCGTGGGAGGCCAAGGGGCGGGCAAGTCTGTGGCCTGTTGAGTGAGAAAAAGTGTCGTGGGTGCTTCCAATCCCACGCTGAGCTCCGCCGATCGGAGCTCCTCCGGCAAGTGAAGCACCGATCCATCGCGCCGCACGGTTATGGATGCGGAGTTCCATTACCGTGGATGAGGTGACCCTCCGGAATCAGTTGTCCACCGTGGCCATTCTGCCCTCGACTGTCCGGCCTGGTCGTCCAATGATGGCCGCACGCGCCAACAAACCAAATACTGACGTGTCTTCCACGTCGGATGTGAAGAGGATGGTTCAGAAACCCTCGGATCTCTTATGTGGATTTTAATAATTTAATAATTTATTTTAATAACTAAATTATTCTTTCTTTCTTCTTCTGTTATTTTCGGATGCGTTTTACAAAGATATTAATATATTATATCAATATAACTAAACAAAAGTATATTACTTAGAAATTGTTAAATTGACCCACCCTTTATTAAATCAACCCATCATGTGATAATAGGCATTACTGTCATGTGTTTCATTTTCCAGTTGTAAGCCTTTAAAAATTGCTACTGGCCCCAATACTCCATGGCATCAGCGAGAACATTTTTAGCTATTAAAAATACACAAATATTAGGATAGTCATGTGATGGATCAATTTAACAATTCCCTTTATTTGGAACGTATTTATTTACTTATTTGTAAAAGAAATAAATATTAATGTGTGTATTTTTTGTGTAACAATTATCCATCATGTAAGATGATGAGGCGTTCATTGATTTCAATCATGTAAATTAAGTATGTTTTCAATATGTTGGATGTTCATTTTATGATCACATTCTCAAATCTGCAATTATACATGACATTATGCCAAACACACAACACATTGCATCACTCTTTCTTTCCTTTCTACCTTCTTATTTTATTCTTCTTTCTGCATTTATGATTATTATTATTATTCATTCATAGCTTTTTCTTTTTTTCTTTTTTATTTTTATTTTTAAATCCAATTGAAATAAAATATACTAGGAATATTAAAAATTTACCAACTTCATTGTCACTTTTAAGAATAAAAAAATGTTGATTGTGCTTTAAAAAATCATAATAATTTCTTTTAAACAGACACAAGGTTTACAAAAAAAATTCACATTGACTGAATTTAAAATGTATTGAATAATATTTTCACATTATTCCTTTATTTGTTTATTCATGGGTTTAATAATTTATTAATGTGTACAATGCATTCTTGATTTGATTATTTTTCTTTTCTTTTCATCTATATACAAACCTAGAAAGAGAATATTATCACTTAGGTTGTTTAAAGTTAGATACATAAATTTGCAAATAACATTATTTCATTCTGTGACCTAAACACACTTGGCAACATCACCAATCTACAATCTTTTTATTTGCAGTGA